AGGAGTAGGATCAACTATATTTTAAAAAAAGATTAAATAGCTGTCGGACACACACCTCAGCTATTCTCCTGACCGTGACCCGACAAATGCGCTCCCGACAACAGCGCGCCGACAAAACCGCGTCGATAAAACCGCGATGTCGACAGCACGCCCACAAAGGCGCACCGACAAAAGAGCAGCGACAGAAGCGCGATTACGGTTAAGGTAAGGGTTAGGGTAAGGGTAAGGGTTAGGGTTAGGTTCAGGGTTAGGTTTAGGTTTAGGGTTAAGGTTAGGGTTAGGTTTAGGTTTAGGGTTACCTTTAGGGTTAGGTTTAGAGCGCGCGTCTGTCGGCGCACTGTTGTCGGCGCGCTTCTGCGCTCATTCGTCGGTGCGATTTCAAACTCACAGTTTTTTCCCCGCGGTTTCATCAGCGCGCTTTTGTCCAGCGTGCATTTGTCGGCGAACCCTCCTGACTGCCATAGGATGGGAGTTGCTATTAATTACATAAGCTGCTTTTTATGGCTGCAGCCACCATTCCCTTTGGGAAGCAAATGAGATAGGAGAGTGGGAGTTTTTCAGGGGAAATGGTAGAAAGTCTACTGAGAGCCTCAGTCATCCAAGTCTTGGTTGTCCCAAAGGTGCTTTTTAAAAAAAAAAAAAAAAAAAAAGCAATTGGACTTTGTTTTTTCCTTGAAGACATTTCACTTCTCAAGAAACTTCTTGGATGAGAAGCAAAACAATCTTCAAGGAACAAGTCCAGTTTTTCAAAAAGCGCCTTTGGGCAGGAAGAAAAGGTTTCAACTGTTCCAGTCCTTGTGCCCATGTGCGGTGTGACCTTCAACATCTTACCCATTTAACAAATGCAAATCAAGCTGAAGCTTTTTTTTTTTGGTTCCTTACCACTTTTTCCTTAGAACGTAGAACTCCCATCTTTCCAAAGCGTACGTGAAAAGGTGAACATTGGAGGTTTCCATTGGGCTGGCGGATAACAATGATATCAATGCACCCAGACAACGTGGCCGGATTTAATCCTTTGTAGAGCTCCTTCACTGTCACAAAGACTTGCCCTGCTAACTGTCCAACGTAATTCATGGTTTGTGCCTTGAGATGACAAACAGAAGAAAATTATCATTAGATGATGGCTGATTTGCAATCCCTGCAACAGCTGCAGAAAACACCTGCAAAGCCAAAGCAAATCCGTAAAAGAGCAGAAGAGCAAATAATTATTTGCATATAAAAAAATCAGTTTTCAGTAGAATTGACCATATTTCTTCAGGCCAAATCTAATCAAATAGAGGATATAGTGATCTGGCCTTCAGGAAGAAAATGAGGGGGAAAGAAACAGAATACTACAATAATAAAACTTGACCCTTCGCACTCCTGGATCCATGCAGCTGCATTTATCTCTGATTTCATTCTCTGGTTCATGCTTTTATGAGCTTATTCATTCATCTGATTTACACCCATTGCAAACGACGAGACTGAATCACTGAAATAGCCATATCAATGGAGCAAACCCCAGATAATATGCTGATAAGAAATATAATTATACATTCCAAAATGTGTGATAACTAGCCTATAAAATCATCCTACTACTCAACTGAAAGCATTTTGCTTGCTATAAGAATCTGGCCAACTACATGGAACATGTCTCCAGGTAAGAAGGAAGAGGAGAGGAGAGCCATCAAAGATGAGAAGATGGGAATAAAATGAGCAGATTAGTAATGCCTACCTGTTCTGACCCCCCTTCTTCACTCGATCACAGAGGACAGTCAGACAGACTTAAAAGGAAATAACTTTATCAGTCCCGGCTCATGCTGGCTGCGAGCCCAAAATAAATAATGTCTCTGGCAAAAAGGTTACGCAGCAGAATGCAAAAACAAAGAGCTCTTACAGCAACACCAGGTTTACAGAAAGCAAATCACTTCTCCAAGTGTCTCTTTGAATCAGGGTTACAGAAAGCAAATCACTTATCCAAGTGCCTCTCACAAACAAACCACGACTGATGAACGATGAACCACGAACGAACGAATGAACATTGATTTCTGCAACCAGGGCGTGGCACCATCAGTCCTTTTATCTCCAGAAGACGACACTACTGAGCCCCAGCTGCATTGTTATTCCTGCATCCCAACTCAACTCACAGCAAACTTCTGCTGAGTCACAACACCTACCTATTTTTTTTTCAGTGCTGTTTTAAAGAGCAAGAATTAACACCCCTGAATTTCAGTGATAGACAGAATCCCCCACAGAATAAGCAAAAGAGCAATCTAGAAAAGCTTAAGACTGGAAAAGTCACAGACCAATAGATCCCTTCAAATTCCATCATCAGATTCCATTCCACAATACTCTTTGATGACTCTTGGGGATATGGAAGGTCATTAAATGCCAAAAGTGGTTTCTTAAGGCTGGCAGTAGTTTAATCCATCCATTTCAAAACCCTGAAAAACTCCTTGAACTAATTTTTCTCATAAGGTATTAAGAGGCAAAATTGGTGATTTGCCCCTTAAAATTCTGCCCAAGCCAGAAAGCCCTGCTTCAGTGATCTCAAGTCATCAGCATTGCCAGCTGGTGCCCTTCGGATTGAAAACGTTTCTTTATCCTTTGGTGTCCTGAGTTTATCCTACTTCTAATGAACAAAATGTTTAGTTGGGCCTTTAAATCAGTGTGTTGTAAGGGTTAAATTTGAATTCATAGTTCTACTGAATTTTTAGACAAGCATGAGCAGCCGGTCTAACATAGTACCATTGTGAGTGGGATAATATATTTATCAATGCTGCTTTTGATTCTTTTCTGGAGGAACAGTGCCACACCAATACAGTATAATGATCCCTTAGCCTTTCCCTCTGACATAACAACTGAGATAGTTGCTACTGTTTATAAAAGTGCTTGAAAGTCTTCTCTTTAAATCAGTGGGGCAACTTTTAAGATACACTATATTGCCAAAAGTATTCGCTCACAACTGATTCTGATTATTTGGATGGGTAAGCAAATACTTTTGGCAATATAGTGTATATGGACTTTAACTCCCATAATTCCCCAGCCAGCATGTACAGTATTGTACTACTGTGAGTAGATCTCCATGCTGAAAACAACTATCTCAGATAGCAAGGCAAAATTCCACCAAGAATATATATTTGCAGGACATGGAGGCTCAGATAAGCTGGCTTGATGTGGCAAAACTATGAAACCATTTATGAAAGAATTCCAGTGATTGCAAGCTCTGCTTATACAACAGCCAACATTCGGTTTCTTGTACTGCTCGCTCCTGCCTGCTCTACACACAAGTCTAAAAGCAATTATCGGGGGGGGGGGGGGGGGGGAGAGAAGATGCGTGACCTGACAAATGCGCGCACGACAAAAGCGCAGACGAAACCGCGGCGATAAAACCGCAATGTCATAAACGCGCCCACAACAACGCGCCGACAAAACCACGCCCACAAAAGCGTGATTTAAGTTAAGGTAAGGGTTAGGTTCAGGGTTCTGTTTAGGGTTAGGGTTAGGGTTAGGGTTATTCGGTTGTTATTAGTTGATCGTTGAAGGCATGCTTTTGTCAGCACGCTGTTGTGGCGCGCTTCTGCGCTCATTCATCAGCAGATTTTGAACTCATGGTTTTCTTGCCGCGGTTTCGTTGGCGCGCTTTTGTCGAGCACGCATTTGTCGATGAACCGAGAAGATGTACTTGCTCCTTGTTTTGGTAGCAGCCTATTATTTTGCGTTTATGTACGACTGTGTGAAAACAAATTCTCAACAACAACCAAAATCAGCGATGATGGGATTGCAGAAAAAGAGCAGAAAGGGTTGTGACTATCTTACGAAAAGGATTAGAAGAAGGAAGGACAGAGGATAAATCAGGACCCATTGATTGATGCCTGAGTAATCTCCAGTCGATCAAAAGAAGCAAAGTTGGCTGGGGGATTCTGGGAATTGAAGTCCTCCAGGCTTAAAGTTGACAAGGTTGGAGACCCCTGGTTTAAACTGAATAATAGCAATAATTCAAAATTTGTCTGTTAACTTCCTCGTCAGATTGTTAATCAAGAATGCCTGGCTACTGATTGTACTGTTATAGAGACTAACTTGATTTTGTATTTAATAACAGCAGCAAGACTGTTGGTGG